AACATCTGAATGAGTCAGAGGACAACTGGGTGAAAGTGTTGTGGTCAGATGAGACCAAAATGGAACTCTTTGGCATCAACTCAACTTGCCGTGTTTGGAGGAGGAATGCTGCCTATGACCCCAAGAACACCATCCCCACCGTCAAACATGGAGGTGGAAACATTATGCTTTGGGGGTGTTTTTCTGCTAAGGGGACAGGACAACTTCACCGCATCAAAGGGACGATAGACAGGGCCATGTACCGTCAAATCTTGGGTGAGAACCTCCTTCCCTCAGCCAGGGCATTGAAAATGGGTCGTGGATGGGTATTCCAGCATGACAATGACCCAAAACACACGGCCAAGGCAACAAAGGAGTGGCTCAAGAAGAAGCACATTAAGGTCCTGGAGTGGCCTAGCCAGTCTCCAGACCTTAATCCCATAGAAAATCTGTGGAGGAAGCTGAAGGTTCTAGTCGCCAAACGTCAGCCTCGAAACCTTAATGACTTGGAGAAGATCTGCAAAGAGGAGTGGGACAAAATCCCTCCTGAGATGTGTGCAAACCTGGTGGCCAACTACAAGAAACGCCTGACCTCTGTGATTGCCAACAAGGGTTTTGCCACCAAGTACTAAGTCATGTTTTGCAGAGGGGTCAAATACTTATTTCCCTCATTAAAATGCAAATCAATTTATAACATTTTTGACATGCGTTTTTCTGGATTTGTTGTTGTTATTCTCTCTCACTGTTCAAATAAACCTACCATTAAAATTATAGACTGATCATTTCTTTGTCAGTGGGCAAACGTACAAAATCAGCAGGGGATCAAACACTTTTTTCCCTCACTGTATATGTATGCGATTGTGCGGCCGTGTGTGTGTATGCCTGTAAGTATATGCGTTCAAGTCTGTGGTTGTGTGTGTAACGCTGTGTCTTTGCGAGACTGCGCATAATCCTGTGACTGTGGTAAGAGGTAGTGTAGCGGTCAGTGCACTGCACTGTGAACCCGGAAAATTGAGTTATACCCAAAATCGGTTCTGGGCTTCCCCCAGGTCGGCTCAGCCAAACGAGTACCTGGTGCATTGTGTAAAAACGTCAACGCTGTTAACCACACCACTATTTGTTTGCCGAGCCATCCTTAACAGTGCTTCCTTATTTCTGTGTACGCCTGTGTGTGTGTGAGCGGTTGTGTAGCGATTAAGCTCCGCACTAAGCTTCAGGTCTTCTCGGCCACGGTCATTCCCTCCCTTCTCTACGCTTGCGAAACGTGGACCCCCTTAATGGAACATCTTCGCCGGTTAGAAACATTTAGGCTAGCCTGTCTACGATCCATCCTGGGTTTAACCAGGCTGGATTGTGTGAGGAGCTCACAAATCCTTGAAAGATCTGGGCATGGTCCCATCGGTGAGCTCCTCCGGCAGGCAAGGCTGCGTTGGCTGGGTCATGTAGCCCGCATGCCCAGCCACCGCGTGCCAAAACAGCTTTTGTTCGGCCGGATCGAGGGGGCTAAACGGGCGCGGCACGGGCTAGAGAACAGATGGAGTGATGTGGTACAGGAGGACGTGGAGCTGAGTGGACTTGCCGATGGCTGGTAGCAGCGGTGTCAAGATCGGCCTCTGTGGAGGAGGCTCGTGAAGGACGCTATTGGGCAGTTGGAGGCAGTCGCCCTCCAACAACAACGGAGGGTGGAGGAGCGACGCTCACAACAACGAGCGGAGCGCCGGGTGGCTAAAGCACAGCAGGTTGGCACAGTAGGGGGCACAGGTGGTGCACCAGCCAGTCGTCTCAGTCAGTCGACCCGTGGCACCTGGGTCTACCCCGTGACCTCCTGCCCGCGGGCGTTCGACACTTCACGTGGCCTCAAGGTGCACATGGCCTGGCACAAGCGTCGTGGTGACGTCACCGCCACTTAGTGGCGAATGGCGGTTGTTGTTGTAGCGATTAGCGCGCTGCACTCCGAACCCGGCGACCCGAGCTCGATTCCCGCTCACAGCCAACACCAGTGACAGTTATCTGAACCGGTCTTGAGAACCTGGTGTGGCGTGTAAACATCGCCACTGGGGAGACAAAGGCGGCCGGGCGTGGTTGCTGGCCACCCGCCCTCTCGTGTACCGTTCCAGCTTTCATAGGTGCTCGCTAACAGCACTTGCCCCAACAGTCTGTTACAGGCTATAGGGGGGATTTTTGTCTTTTGTAAGCGTGCGCGTGCTTTGGGTCTGTGTCTGCGTGTGACACACAGTCCCATGAGCGAGCTCCACAGGCAGGTGATCAAAATCTTGTCTGGATCGCGTAGCCCCGAATGCCCAGCCGCCAACCGCATGCCCAACGGATACGGTCATAAAGGGCGCGGCACGGGGTGGAGAGGAGATGGGCCCGATGCGGTAAAGGAGGACTTGGAGCTGAGTGGACTTGCGGGCAACTGATACCAGCGCTAAAACGCTGTGCTCTCGGTCCTCCCCACCCTCACTCCACACACTGACACACTGAGTGTTAATCTCTCCCACGCCATCATTTCAAGAACCCGCAGCAGTTGGAGACGCAATCCAATTACCGCCATTTGAAACAATCCAGTACTAATTCTAGATTTGAAGCTTTCGTGACTGCAAGGATTCATACTCTTTGGTTTTATTCGGTGAAGTCACGTAGATAAAATAAAACAAAATAAAATAATTAAATCACGACGTTTCGGAGGCAACACAAGCTTCCGTCTTCAGGTGGAAAAGTCAACGCACAGATATTCTGCGTTGACTTTCCCACCTGAAGACGGAAGCTCCTGGCCCGAAACGTCTTCTACTATATATATTTTTATTGTAGAGCCAAACACAGTGTTAGTTATGAATGTGTTGCATTTTCAGTCGCGGGTTGTTACGTAACCAAAAACGGATTGCGTCCTGAGTGACCTTCCCAACATAGGGTACCGTGCATGGTGCATGTGTGCAACTGATATACAAGCATCTCACTAACAGCGCTTGCTCAAAAATCTAACCGCGCTCAAAATAGAAACGCGTGTATTTATGTGGGAGAGAGAGCTCTCTGTCACCTCTGTGTGTGTTTGTGTGCCCATCTTTGTATGTGTAGGTCGTGTAGTGGTTAGTGCGCTGCGCTATGAACCCGGCGAACCGAGTTTTATTTCTGTTCACGGCCACGAACACCAGTGATGATTATCTGAACTAGTCCTGGGCCTTCCCTAGGTCAACTCGGCCTAAAATGAGTACTTGGTGCGATGTGTAACCGTTGCCACCGGGGAGGCAATAGTGGCTGGACGTGGTGCTGGCCACCCACCCGCTCTTGTGACCTGCCGGCCTTCATAGGTGCTCGCTAACAGCACTTGCCCCAAACATATGTTAAGGCTAAATGGGGGAGCTTTGTCTTTGTGTCTGTGTGTTAATTCGGTGTGTGGTCAGTGTATGCCCGTTTGTCTATAAGACTTGGCACAGTGGGGAGCGCAGGTGGTGCATCTGTCAGTCAACTCATAACACCTGGGTCTATCCCCTGACCAGAGAGCCTTCCACATTTCACGTGATAACCCTAAAGTGCATCTAGCCTGGCACAAGCAACGTGGTGGTGTCGAAACCCACACTTAGTGAATATCTGTGTGTGTGTATCTATGACTGTTTGTGTGTGCATCTCTATAAATGTGTCGATGACCCTGTGTGTGTGTGTCTGCGACTGTTTATATCTCTACGACCCTGTGTTTATCTCTGATCCTGTGTTCATCTCCATCACGGTGGGTGTGTATCTCCATAACTGCGTGTATCTCTTTGACCCCGTGTGTATCCCTATGACTGCATATATCTCTGTGACTCTGTGTGTGTCTTTGACCTTGTGTGTATCTTCACGACCCTGTGTGTATCTCTATGACTGCATATATCTCTGTGACTCTGTGTGTGTCTTTGACCTTGTGTGTATCTCCACGACCCTGTGTGTATATCTATGACTGCATCTGTGACCCTGTGTATGTCTTTGACCTTGTGTGTATCTCCACGACCCTGTGTGTATCTCTATGACTGTGTGTGTCTTTGACCTTGTGTGTATCTCCACAACCCTGTGTGTATCTCTATGACTGTGTGTGTGTCTATGACCCTGTGTGTGTCTTTGACCTTGTGTGTATCTCCACGACCCTGTGTGTATCTCTATGACTGTGGGTGTGTGTCTGTGACCTGTGGTGTCTTTGACCTTGTGTGTATCTCCACGACCCTGTGTGTATCTCCACGACCCTGTGTGTATCTCTATGACTGTGGGTGTGTGTCTGTGACCCTGTGTGTGTCTTTGACCTTGTGTGTATCTCCACGACCTGTGTGTATCTCTATGACTGGGGTGTGTGTCTGTGACCCTGTGTGTCTTTGACCTTGTGTGTATCTCCACGACCCTGTGTGTATCTCCACGACCCTGTGTGTATCTCTATGACTGTGGGTGTGTGTCTGTGACCCTGTGTGTGTGTCTTTGACCTTGTGTGTATCTCCACGACCTGTGTGTATCTCTATGACTGTGTGTGTCTGTGACCCTGTGTGTGTCTTTGACCTTGTGTGTATCTCCACGACCCTGTGTGTATCTCCACGACCCTGTGTGTATCTCTATGACTGTGGGTGTGTGTCTGTGACCCTGTGTGTGTCTTTGACCTTGTGTGTATCTCCACGACCCTGTGTGTATCTCTATGACTGTGGGTGTGTGTCTGTGACCCTGTGTGTCTTTGACTTGTGTGTATCTCCACGACCCTGTGTGTATCTCCACGACCCTGTGTGTATCTCTATGACTGTGGGTGTGTGTCTGTGACCCTGTGTGTGTGTCTTTGACCTTGTGTGTATCTCCACGACCCTGTGTGTATCTCTATGACTGTGTGTGTGTCTGTGACCCTGTGTGTGTCTTTGACCTTGTGTGTATCTCCACGACCCTGTGTGTATCTCTATGACTGTGTGTGTGTCTGTGACCCTGTGTGTGTCTTTGACCTTGTGTGTATCTCCACGACCCTGTGTGTATCTCTATGACTGTGTGTGTGTCTGTGTGTGCTCCCTGCGCCCCTGCAGACCCCGTGGCAGGCGGGCCGCGACGTGTGGTGGCACGCAGAGATGGCGGTGGCATCCACCGACTGCCCCCCAGTGTGGTGCGACGCCGAGGACCCCCTCTTCATCCTCTATACGAGCGGCTCCACCGGCAAACCCAAGGCAAGCTGCCACGGCACACACACACACGCCACCACGGCACATACACACACACATACCACGGGATACACGCCATGGCACACACACATGCCACTGCACACATGCCACGGCACACACGCACACACGTCACAACATATGCACTCAGCCGCCACTGCGCACACACACACAACGCCACGGCACGCACACACACATCACCACAGCACACACACTCACCCACTATGGCACACACGCACACACCATGTCACACACATACACACTGGCACGGCACACACTCACACACTGGCACGGCACACACACACTCACCCGCCATGGGACACTGTTACACACTCACCACCATGGAACACATACCGCCACGGCACATGTGTACATGCACACAAGTCTATACATGTGTACATGTGTACGTGTACACATGCACACAAGTCTATACACATGTGTACATGTGTACGTGTGTTTATGTGTGGGAGCGGTCGTGCTCTGTTTAGTGCACTGCTCTATGAACCCGGTGACCGAAATTGGATTCCTGTTCGCCGCCAACATCAGTGATGTATATTGGTATTGATCCCTGGCCTCCCGTAGGTCAACTCAGCCTTAAATAGGTACCTGCTGAAATGTGTATACATCAGCACCAGGGAGACAAAGACATCAGCACCGAGACCAAGGCGAGGTGGTTGGCTCGGCAAGGTGTTTGCCACCCACCCCGTCGTGTGCCGTGCCGGCCTTAACAGGTGCTACTCGCCAACATCACTTGCTCCCAATAGCCCATTAAAGGCCAGTTGTTAGTGCACCTCGCTCCGAACCCGGTGACCCGAGTTCAGTTCCCGCTAACGGGCAATATCAGTGGCGAATACTGGTTCTGGACCTCCCCAAGGTCGACTCAGCCTTAAATGGCGCGGTGTGTGTATACACATCGGCACCGGCCGGGCGTGGTGTTGGCCACCCACCCCCTCGTGTGCCGTGCCGGCCTTAAGAGGTGCTACTCGCAAACAGCACTTGCCCCAACAGTCTATGCAAGGCTATACCGGGGATCTTTGTCCGTTGTGTGCGCGCGTGTGTGCGTGTGTGCGCGCGCGCGTGCACGTGTGTAGGGCGTGCTGCACACGGTGGGAGGATACGTGGTGTACGCTGCACACACGCACAAGCTGGTGTTCGACCTCCGCCCCGACGACGTGTACTGGTGTACGGCCGACATCGGCTGGATCACCGGCCACTCCTACATCACCTACGGCCCGCTCGCCAACGGAGCCACCAGCATCCTGGTAGCCTCAACACCGCCACAGTGCTCAACAACAAGCAGTCGGGGCCATTGATGATCCAGTCCTCGCTCGCTCATTCGCTCCCTCGCCAGTCGGCCGGCGGTCGGTCGCCTCCGTATTGCTCTTCTATCATCGCTACTATGACAGCTGCTGGTCCCATGAACTTCGCTCGTCGATTCCTCTATCCATGTTGCGGAATCGGTCTCCACCACACTCACTGACTGTTTCCGTCTCATCTATCACGCCGTGTTTAGCCATCACCACACTGCAGGTCACAACAAAGATCCCCCGTTTCGCCTGAACAGACTGTTGGGATGAGTGCTGTAAGCGAGCACCTTACAGCCACGCAGCAGCAGACCGCGCAGCAATACACTCGTTCACACACACCCACCCACTCAGCTATTGTCACACATGCACACTCGCCTACCCACCCACTCACTCACACACCCACCCACTTACCACACTGCAGGTCACAACAACACACACACTCACCCTCTCACTAACTCACTCATCTACAAAACTACAGGTCACCTCTTTTTGCTTCCTCCCTCGCACTCTCTTCGTCTCTCCTCATCCACGCCCTTACAATAACAAAACATTGCCTGTAACGTTTCCTCTTTACAATAACAAAACATTGCCTGTAACGTTTCCTCTTTACAATAACAAAACATTGCCTGTAACGTTTCCCCTTTACAATAACAAAACATTGCCTGTAACGTTTCCTCTTTACAATAACAAAACATTGCCTGTAACGTTTCCTCTTTACAATAACAAACATTGCCTCTAACGTTTCCTCTTTACAATAACAAACCATTGCCTGTGACGTTTCCTCTTTACAATAACAAAACATTGCCTGTAAGGTTTCCTCTTTACAAGAACAAAACATTGCCTGTACTGTTCCCCTTTACAATAACAAAACATTGCCTGTAACGTTTCCTCTTTACAATAACAAAACATTGCCTGTAACGTTTCCCCTTTACAATAACAAATCATTGCCTGTAACGTTTTCCCTTTACAATAACAAAACATTGCCTGTAACGTTTCCTCTTTACAATAACAAAACATTGCCTATAACGTTTCCTCTTTGCAATAACAAAACATTGCCTGTAACGTTTTTGCTTTACAATAACAAAACTTTGCCTACAACGTTTCCTCTTTACAATAACAAAACATTGCCTATAACGTTTCCTCTTTACAATAACAAAACATTGCCTGTAACGTTTCCTCTTTACAATAACAAACATTGCCTGTAACGTTTCCTCTTTACAATAACAAAACATTGCCTGTAACATTTCCTCTTTACAATAACAAACATTGCCTGTAACGTTTCCTCTTTACAATAACAAAACATTGCCTGTAATGTTTCCTCTTTACAATAACAAAACATTGCCTATAACGTTTCCTCTTTGCCGTCGTGGTTGTTGTCAGCCTGTAGCTTCCACCCCCCTTCCCCCAATCATTCTCCTCTGTTTCTTCCTTCCCCCGGCTACTCCAGTCCGGTCGTGACCTCCGAACTCCGTGATGTCGTCTCGCTGCTGCTGCCGTCCCTTCCGCTGTTCTCGCTCCCCTGCTTCTGTTGCCTTCTCGCTGTCTCCACTCCGGAAGTTGGTTCTGTCCCACGTCAACTATTCGCAGGACGCATGCCTCCCGTTTCCCATTCCCAATCGATTTCTTTCACTCCCACAGGAGCACCACCGGTGACGCCTGCTCTTATCTTCAGGGCAGTTTTGTTGATGAATGTGTTCAGTGTTTTTTCGTGCGTTATTTGTGCTTGCGCAACTCTGCCAATGCAACATCGCCGAATAATCGGCTTTCATCGGTGCTAGCCGACGGCACCTTGCCCCAACAGCCTGTGTAGGCCACGTCGGGGATCTTTGTTATTGTTATATCGGGAGCGATCCTGTGACCTCGTGCCAGCGAGCCTTCGAAGTGCCAACCAAGTCCGGCACCAGCTCTTTGGTGATGTTACTGTCACTAAGTTGGCGAATGGCGTCGGCTTTCGTCGTTGTTGCAGCGAGTGGTACAATATTTGTTCTTGTTATTGCACTGTGCTGCGAACCTGGTGACCCGAGTTCAATTCCCGCTCGCGGCAGAAACGAGCGGCGAGTGATGCTGCAACCAGTCCTGCGGCCTCCCCTACCGAACAGCACTTGCCCCAACATCCCGTGTAGGCTACACGGGGGATTTTTGCCTTTGCATGTGTACGTGCAGTTCGAGGGCATACCCACCTACCCGGACCAAAGCCGCTGCTGGCAGGTGGTGGAGAAGTATGGCGTGACCAAGTTCTACACCGCCCCGACGGCCATCCGCCTGCTCATGAAATATAAAGACGAGGACGTCTTCAAGTGAGTCCCCGGACTCGTCGCGACGTGGCGACGAGAGCCCACCAGCAGCGGCGCGGTCGCCGCTTGTTGCAGAGGTTCGTGGTTCGAGTCCGACAGGCTGCCCTGGTTATTACCGCGGTGCTTGTGTGTAAACCGTAGAGTACTACGTATAGACGCATACGATGTCTGGATTTGACTCGTGGCCAAGCAAGGCCAGGGAAAATAACGCATTCACTGCGCGTGACGACAGTTGGTACGCGGTGGGGACACACCGTCGCTACCGTGTCGCCTACACGGCGTCTCCATGCGTTCGCCGCGTGGGGTGACCACACGTCGTCACCAACCGCGTCGCCACCTCCGTGCGTCTCCACTCGTTCACTGCGTGTGACATCGGCTGCATGGCTTGGCTGCTGCAATGAAAAAACAAACTGGTGCCTCCTGAGCTGCATTGGACTGGCTCAGAACGGCCCTGGTACGGTGCAGTTGTGCAGTGGGAAAGAGGTATCCATGCCGAATGGTGGCCGTTGTTGTTGTTGCTGCTGCTGCTGTTGATGATGCGCAGACACAACGTGTCGTCGCTGAAGGTGCTGGGCACCGTCGGCGAGCCCATCAACCCAGAGGCCTGGCGCTGGTACCACCGCGTCGTGGGCGGGGGACACTGCCCCATCGTGGACACGTTCTGGCAGACGGAGACGGTGGGTGTCCACCTCGTCCATTGTGACCACGATGATCACCTCACGCAATGTGTCTCCCACGTCCGCCACACCCACCGTGTCCACCACACCCACCGTGTCCACCACACCCACCGTGTCCACCACACCCACCGTTTCCACCACACCCACCGCATCCACCACACCCACCACATCCACCGTGTCCACCACACCCACCACACCCACCGTTTCCTCCACACCCACCGTGTCCACCACACCCACCGTTTCCACCACACCCACCACACCCACCGTTTCCACCACACCCACCATTTCCACCACACCCAGCGTGTCCACCACACCCACCGTGTCCACCACACCCACCACACCCACCGTGTCCACCACACCCACTGTGTCCACCATGTTCACCATAATCACCGTGTCCACCATGACCACCGCAAGGAGAGCCGTGCGACGCTTATCGGAAAATTCTCTGCGCAGGGTGGCCACGTCCTCACTCCTCTCCCAGGAGCCACTCCCCTCAAGCCTGGCTCAGCCGTGAGTGACACAGAGCACACACAAAGACAAAGACCCCCCGTATAGCCTTAAAAGACTGTTGGGGCAAGTGCTGTTCGCGAGCACCTATGAATGCCGGAACGGTACACAAGGGGACGGGTGGCCAGCACCACGCCCGACCGCCTTTGTCTCCCCAATGGTGATGTTTACTGCACACCGCACCAGGTACTCATTTGATGCTGAGTCGAACTAGGGGGAGGCCCAGCACCGGCTCAAATAATCGTCACTGGTGTTGGCCGTGAGCAGGAATCAAACTTGGTTCGCCAGGTTCATAGCGCAGTGTTGATTAACACACACACACACACGCTTATCTCCACAGTCTGTTTCCTTGAACACCTCTCGGTCTGTCCTGAAAACCAGCGAGCATGCTCTAATCCAGATAGCCTCAAAGTGCACCTAGCCTGGCGTAGTAGGCGTGGTGACGTCAACCCCATTTAGGGGCGAATGGTGGCCCTTGTTGTTGTCTGTGTGTGCTTGTTGATGTGTGTGTGGGTTTCCGTGTTGATGCGTGGTGCAGACCCTGCCGTTTTTTGGGGTTGTACCGGCTATCTTGAACGAGCACGGAGAGGAGTTACACGGGGAGGCCGAGGGATACCTGGTACCAGCGCGCGCGAGACAGTTTGACGCAATTCGGCATATCCACGCAGCAGCACACCGCACCCTGACACAGCCACGCAGCAGCACACCGCACCCTGACACAGCAGCACACCGCACCCTGACACAGCAGCACACCGCACCCTGACGCAGCAGCACACCGCACCCTGACACAGCAGCACACCGCACCCTGACACAGCCACGCAGCAGCACACTGCACCCTGACACAGCAGCACACCGCACCCTGACACAGCGGCATACGAGCGTGTGATGTAGAGTGTTGCTGTGCATCGCAGGTGTTCAAGCAGCCGTGGCCGGGCATGATGCGCTCCGTGTACGGAGATCACCAGCGCTTCGAGGCCACCTACTTCCAGAAGTTCCCGGGGTTCTACGTCACGGGCGACGGTGCCGCCCTCACCTCCCGCTCCTCACCGCACCGCTGCTCACCTTTCCTCAACACACCGCATCTCGCCACCCCTCACTGCACCTCCCCACTCCTCAACACACCACTCATCACCGCTCCTCACCTTGCCACTCCTCACCGCTCCTCACCCGTACTTTACCGTACCTCACCACTTCCCACTGCACCTAATTGCACCTCATCACTCCTCACCACTTCTCATCGTACCTTCCCTTGCCACTCCTCACCACTCTTCACCTCGCTTTCCCCACACTCCCCAGCTGCAGAGAATTGTTGGTCACATGGTATTGTTTCGGCTGCCTGTGAACCCTACAACCTGAGTTCGATTCACCGTGCTCACATCAGTGGTGAATATCTTAGCAAATCCGAGGTCAACTCGGGTGATTTGGTAAGACGAAGTGAATAAGGCAATTAATTATCATTTACTAGAGTTGGTATAATGGTATCGTTTATTTTCTATTAGACTATGGATTTTTTGACCTATGTCAAAGGTCATAGGGTTTATATAGCTCATCATTGATAGCATACAGGATTCCTTCCAGTCCGGGTGAGCTATTATTTGGGCGTGCTGCTGGCCAGCCACCCTCTTGTGTGCCATGCCGGCCTTCATAGGCGCTCGCGAACAGCACCCGCATAAGCAGTCTGTGTTATGGGCTACACGGAGGAATCTTTGATGCGTGTTCTGTGGGGAGTGGTTGGCGCACTGCGTTACAAATCCACGCTGCACTATGAACCCGGTGACCCGAGTTCCATTCCTGCTCACTGCCACCACCAGTGACGATTATTTGAACCCGTGCTGGGCCTCCCCTAGGTCGACTCAGCCTCAAATGAGTACCTGCTGTGGTGTGTAGTAAACATCGCCACCGGGGAGACAAAGGTGGTCGGGCGTGGTTCTGGCTACCCACCCCCTCGTGTACTGTGCTGGCATTGATGGGCCACGGTGGCTGGGAGATGTTAACTGCCTCGCCTGGCATACAGGAGGTCGTGGGTTTGATCTCGATCCTGATGCCTGCGGCTGTATATTTGGAGTTTGGATGTTATTCCCGTGGTCACGTGGATTTTTCTCAGGGTCCTCCGGTTTTTCCCTCCACATTTAGACAATTCTGAGAGTATTCGACTGCAATACATTTCTACATGATAAGCCACTTCGTTGTTATCATTTCTAGCCTGGTTGCTTATGAAAACGAGCTACATGTAGCTCGCTGGGCCTTATCTGGTGTGAAACAAACAAACAAAAAAAAAGTGCTCACCAACAGCACTTGCCCCAACAGTCTGCCAAGGCTATAGAGGGGATCTTTGTCTTTGCGCAGGCTGCAGGCGCGACAAGGATGGCTACTACTGGATCACAGGCCGCATCGATGACATGCTCAACGTGTCCGGTGAGCGGCCTCACGACACCACGGAGGCTCACAACGGCCGTGTCACATCCACCGGAGCCTGGATCCACGAGCGTATGGATGGGTGTGACCGTGTGCGTGCGGACGCGTGTATTTGCGTGTGCGTGTGCAGGCTACCTGTGTGTGTGTGTGAGAGACTATATACGTGTGCGCTAAATATGCATATGCAGGCTGCCCGTCCAACCGTAATTCTGTATTGTATTTGTGCGTGATGTGTGTGCACATGTACAAGGCCCCTGTGTGTGTGTAGCTATACGGGTGTGTAACTATATGTGTGTGTGTGTGTGCAAGCCACCTGTGTGTATGTGTAACTATTCGTGTGTGTGTGTGTGTGTGCGTGTAGGCCATCTGTGTGTATGTGTAACTATTCGTGTGTGCGTGTGTGTGCGTGTAGGCCATCTGTGTGTATGTAACTATTCGTGTGTGTGTGTGTGCGTGCAGGCCACCTGTGTGTGTGTGTAACTATTCGTGTGTGCGTGTGTGTGTGTGCGTGTAGGCCATCTGTGTGTATGTAACTATTCGTGTGTGTGTGTGTGTGCGTGTGTGTGCGTGTAGGCCACCTGTGTGTATGTAACTATTCGTGTGTGTGTGTGTGTGCGTGTGTGTGCGTGTAGGCCATCTGTGTGTATGTAACTATTCGTGTGTGCGTGTGTGTGTGTGTGTGCGTGCAGGCCGCCTGTGTGTGTGTGTGTAACTATTTGTGTGTGTGTGTGCGTGCAGGCCACCTGCTGAGCACGGCGGAGGTGGAGTCGGCGCTGGTGTCCCACGCCAGCGTGGCCGAAGCGGCCGTGGTGAGCGCGCCACACCCCGTCAAGGGCGAGAGCCTCTACTGCTTCGTGTCGCTCAGGGAGGGGCAGCAGTTCAGCGGGGACCTCGTCAAGGAGCTCAAGCAGCAGGGTGAGACACGGGGAGAGTGGGGGGGGGGCACGTTGGAAAGTGGGGGGCACGGAGAGAGTGGGGGGGGCACGGAGTGTGGGGGGGCACGGAGAGAGTGAGGGGCACAGAGAGAGTGGGGGGCACGGAGAGAGTGGGGGGGGGGCACGGAGAGAGTGAGGGGGCAGGGAAAGAGTGGGGGGTTGGCATGGGGAGAGTGGAGGGGCACAGAGAGAGAGAGAGTGGGGTAGCACAGAGAGAGTGGGGGCCATGGAGAGAGTGGAGTAGCACAGAGAGAGTGGGGGGCAGGGAGAGAGTGGGGGGCACGGGGAGAGTGGGGAGCACGGGGAGAATGGGGAGCACGGGGAGAATGGGGGGCACGGAGAGAGTGGGGGGCACGGAGAGAGTGGGGGGCAGGGAGAGAGTGGGGGGCAGGGAGAGAGTGGGGGGCAGGGAGAGAGTGGGGGGCAGGGAGAGAGTGAGGGGCACGGAGAGAGTGGGGAGCACGGGGAGAATGGGGGAGAGTGGGGGGCACGAGGGACAGTGTTGTGGGGGACAGTAGTTCAGTCGCATCCTGGTCTAAGAGCTCAAGCAGCTTCGTGAGACACGGGGGTGAGGGGCAGTGCACAGGAAGTGTTGAGGCGGGGGGGGGGGGGCATGGTCAGTGTGGGGCCACGGGGTGGGAAGAGGGAGGGGGGGTCAGCGAGGTGACCAGGAGGTGCACTAGAGCAGTGAATGTTTGTAATCTCCCTCTGCAGAGCTGTGAGTGTGAGTAGGGGTGTCAGTGGTATCAAAACGATTCCTCTCGTATGTTGACTGCCCTCGGTTGACTCAGCCTTAAATGAGTATCTGGCGCGAGTTGTAAACATTACTGGGCATGGCGCTGGCCACACCCCTCCCACCCTCTTGTGCGTCGTGCCCGTATTAACTGGCGATCGTTAGCATCACTTGCCCCAACAGTCTTTGTGGCTATACGGGGGGAGGGGGATCTTTGCCTTTGTGTGGTTGGGCGCAGTCCGAGAAAAAATTGGGCCCATCGCTACCCCGGACTACATCCAGAATGCACCTGGACTCCCAAAGACCCGATCAGGTGACAACTTCACCCACTCAAACCGCACACAAATACGCCACAAACCGAAACAGCAGCACCACCTCTGTGGGCAGTACCTGTACCCAAATTATTGCACGTTAGAAAATAAAACGCAAATTATTCATTGAGATTATACGTTGAAATCATAGCAGTCATCGGCACCCCTACTGGGAACCCTAACAACCCAGGTCACTCTTGCAAAAATGAGATTGTGCTGGTCTATTTGAATCTACTTGAAATGGAAACCACTATCACCACTATCATAGGGGCACCACGGTGCTGAGATGTTAACTACCTCGCTTGGAATAGAGGTCGTGGGTTCGATCACGACCATGACGCCTGCATAGTTGCCGTTTGCGTTTCTCTCTCCCCATGCTCGTGTGGATTTGTTTCTTGGGCCTCCAGTTTTTCCCTTCACATTTAGAAACATGCATTTAGAGTATTTGGCTGCTATAAATTTCCACATCGCATCCAACTTTGTTGAGCTATCATTTGTGGCCAGGTCGCTTCTGAAAAATAGCTATGTAGCTCAGTGGAGGCCTTAGTTTTATTACCACAACCAACACAACCACCACTGCCACATTTTTCTATATATTGTTGTCTTTGTTATACCGTGTGTCTATGTATTCACGTGTCTGTGTATGAATGCATCCGTGTGTCGGTCCATGTTTCAACGTGTCTTTATATCTGGATATTCACATATCGTATGTTTTCATGTGTTTATGTCCATGTGCTTTTTTGTTTGTTCCATGCATCCATCTGTGTTTGTGTCTGTATGTCAATGTGTCCTTGACACTGTGTGCATGTAATGTGTGGTTTATATCACTGTGCTCATGTGCCATTGTAACCGTATGTCCATGTGTCTGTGTGTGTCCGCGTATCCGTACATCTGTCACGTGTCTGTATATCCGCGCGTCTGCACGTCCCACGCGTCCGCGCGTCCCACGTGTCCGTACGTCCGCTTGTCTGCACGTCCGTGTGTCCGTGCGCCTCCGCTCACCACCCCCCACCCCACCAACCCCACCAACCCCACCACGTCCAGGTAAAATCATGCGGCGGATCCTGCGCAAGATCGCCCGCAACGACACCAAGTTCGACGACACGTCGACGCTGGCCGACCCGGCCGTCATCGACTCGCTGCTCGCACTCCGGTGCGCCGTCGTGCAATGAGCGACGCGCGGTCCCGCCGGGGCGCACGTGGTCGCTGCCGAGGGGCGCTGCCGAAAGGGGCACGCGGCGACCCGACGGCAAAACGCAACAAACGAACACGACAACGGCAAGACGGTCTCGGTCAAAGAAAAAGTTTGCGGTGTGGTCGCGCCCGCACCTTGGGTGGATTTACAGGCCCAAGAGATGTGTGAAGTGTCAACGTCCCACTAATGATGATTATTTTATCGTACGGGAATCGGTAGCCAATAGATCACACGTGGGTTGCGCGTGTCCCAGCAATGCGGCCTTGTGGTTTCCTATTCCATGCTGTGGAGAGCTGCTGTCTTTGCAGGCAGTGTTAGCCAATCACAAATGACCTCATACACTCCCTCTAGGATGTATCGGTATCCAATCACGATGTTGTTTCAATAGAATGTTGACGATGCACTCCTTCGTGTGATTGGATGAATAGTCGCGTTGTAGGGGTTGCAGTTGAATGTTCAAATTATTTCGTTTTTAAAACGTCGTAGTGTCACGCGGCCTCGGGTGGAAGCAGGGATCACGTTGAACGAACTGCGCACGACTCCCACAAACGGGGGCGGTGTGATTGCTTCGCGCACGGTTTCAGCGCGCGTGTCATGAATGTTGGCGTAGATTTTAATCGATTCGGCGGCATCGCTCGTGAACGGCCATGCCGTGACATCACATTCAAATTCATCCGCAATTTAATATTGATCAACGAGAGCGTACAATGTCGCATGCCAGGAGGTCGCACATCCGTCCTGACCAGTTAACCGGCCACACCCCGTGGCAGTATTGGTTACACGATTGTGCAACTGTAATTTTACATTGATGTTCACGAATCCGGCCCTGTTGCATACGGTCACGTGTTATTAATCGTCATGTCCCCCCCCACTCCTGTGTTTAACGGCAGCTTGCGAATTATTTTTGTCCGGCAAACCTAACGACGCGCATTATCGACGTCATTTTCTAGAGGTATTCACGTATCAGGCTTTTTCAGAATCAGAATCTGTATTTAACCTGAAGGAATCCAATGAGCTATGTGGAGCTCCTTTTCACAGATGTCCAGTAAGTTACAACAGAAAACAATAAAAAAAACACACAGGAGTCCAAAGTAGAGAAAACGGTTAAGCAAGTCACTTAAAATATCCACCTGCAGTTTTGAGTCCCCGGCGAGTGGGGTTTGCACCATTGTCCTCTGCCTCTCAATTCGGAATTTCGCTCTCGTTCAAGAATTCTGCTTCGTTCCAACAAGAATGTCGTCTCGCCTCCACCCTGTTAGATTGCCGCAGGCCGTTACCGCTCTGCTGTGGGGCGTGTCTGTGGAATGGGGGAGGAGGGCCGATTGCCGATAGCAGCATTGGAGCGGTCTCCACGAGGCCTGATACCAGGGGGATGAGAAGACCCAAGCGCATATGGTGGGAGACTGCAAGGGTAGATGTTTGAGACTATGGCTCTCTGTGTGAGTCTGTGGGTTTCCGTACGAGTCTTAAAATCAGATTTTTGGTGGTGGAGACTTGTCAGGGCAGATCAGTGCAGCAGCTGCGGGATCTCGTTGTGTGTGGGGGGGGTAGAAAGTGCTGGCAGCGAGGAGGTAGTCGTGGGATGAATAGCGCTAGGCACGATGACGTCTCGACCTTGTGATATCACCCAGAGCTCCGCAGCTTGAGGGACACCACTGAATTTAATGTTGTCTCATTTATGAAATTGTCAGCCCGGCAAAACTCCCCGCTAAGTGTGTGTGTGTGTGTGTACGAAATGAGAGATGATTGTTCATGTGGGCTACATCGGCCTTTTTCCCAAAGCTTATACCCACGGTTGAATCATTTCAGCAAGCTCTGTGCAACCTGGAACAATATCTCTGCACCCGGCACACCGCATCCAGTATACCTTTCACTCTGAGCCATGTCTACTGGGCACGTGCCCTCTTACTGCAGTCCACCAGCTGCCTGGAAAATATTCCAGTGTACCTCTCGCTATGGGCCCATGGCCACTGGCTGCGTTGCCGTCTACTCCACTTTACCAACGGCACGGAAAATAGTGAGAAATTGCGCCGTGGTCACGTGACCGTTCACCCGCTCTGTCAATTGGCCGAACTGTCACAGTGGTGCGTGTGGGACCTCTACGACTGGCTGCGTGGTCATCGTGTGCCAGTCACGGATAATGATGCTCGTGGGCAGCCCTTTCCCGTGGAAGGGGTGAAGTGACACTCGCACAACACTCGCCTGACACCGCTCACCTCATCCTCGCCAACTCACCAGTGGCTTGGCTCTCCAGCACACCGGTGTTGCTGTACTGTACTAGTGACGAATTGGCCACGTTCTGTTTACGTGACAACCCTGACTATTTGGCTGTGTCGAGTGGTGGCGGGTTTTAATGACACATTTACGCGATCTAACCCAAAAAAACCTCAATGGATCACCAGTGATCGACCTGACACCTGTGAATCTCCTCGCCTCACCTCTCGGCACTCACCTGTGTATACAATAATAGTTTGAAGCCTTGGAAAATCGTGGGGGGGGGGGGGGTGCTGTTTGTCGGAGAATGTTAAATTTTGGGGTTGTGTTGAAATGTGTGTTCCTCAAATGTCTGTGGGTTTATTTTACACTGTGATTGGCCCTCTCATTAATATTATTGTTAGTAGTATGTCTGTTAGCGATAAATGACGTCTGAATGTGTTAAGAACTTTGTGTGTAGTGCAGTAGTGCACACGAGGGATGGCTTTCTCATCCGGATGTGAATTTTAATTGGGAACTCCCTTTTATCTGAAACTTCACGTTATCCGGAACTCCGCTTATATCATGGGGATCAATGTAATATCCCCAGCTATTATCTGGAATTCCGCATAATCTGGAGTAAATTTCTATCCAACAGTACCTCTTCATATGGAATGTCACTCCGTCAAGAATTCTTCATACTGTGTAGCTTTCTGATGGCCATGCTGCAGACATCAGGCACATGTAGCAGCAAAGGGGCATCTGGGCATGTTGGTGCGTTATAGATATAATATTACGTGTCTGGCAAGTGAGACCTCAGAATTATGGCCATGTGTCTCAAAAAATTATAGTTTATTATATTGTACCGTAAGCTGCATATAGCAAGTTGTCACATATACATTATCTAGCGTGGATCTTATAGCCATTGTCGTCAGTAAAGGCGAGCTGGGTGTTACCATTTTAATGCGCGTCCTTGACAGAGAGGCCTGGACGTGAAGGGGATGATTAAAGTGATTGTGGCCCAACATGAGAATGATTGCTGCTGGGCACTTGTTCGGCGGCTGGAAAAAAAATCGGGTGCTCTCAAGAAGCTCCCAGCAGGTGGAGGCGAAACGTCGGACATGGGGGCCTTGACAACGCGCGGTACGTCCCGGAAAGGCGTGGGGGATCTCCGTACAGCGCAGCCGTGAGAATATCCGCAGCGGTGGCGATCAAGGGCCCATCTTGTGCCGCGCGCACGCGTTCCGCTCGTGTCATTTCCTGAACGTGACCTTGGAGGTAACACGGGTTCGAGTTTGCCCGAAGTTGGCACCCATGCCTGCTAAGCCGCATCCACAAAGAGTTCGTTTATATCTACAAAAACTCAACACGATGCTCAATAACACTGCCAGAAGAAAATGGTGAAATTTCGGGCAAAAGGCTCTTCTTCATCTGCCATGAAAAAAGGGACATTGCCTGACACATCAATTCATTTCTACGCGGTTGTGGTGGTGGTGGTGATGGCGGTGTTGACGAACTCGCGTTGAGTTCTGTTGTTGATGTCGTTGATTGCCAACGCTGCAGCTGCATGGCAAAGACGGCAAATGTTTAATGCATCATCCCTGTGCATCGCAACCTGCAGTTGGGGCGTTTGTGCCTTTGTATTTTAAGACGCTATCATAACTGCTAAGATTTTATTCTTGTCCCGTCCCATCGGTCCGTGGTTGTAGCACTGTAGCTATTTTGTATGGGGGTATATGAACGTACAAATGCGCGCTTTTACTTCGGGGTTTGTTGCTGGTTGTTGAAGGGAGGTGCGGGGTTTGGGGGGGGGGGTTTAGTTTGAAACTGAGTTGGGGGGGGGGGCGGGGGGTTTCCTGTGTCGGTTAAAAAAATATTTTGGTTTCCGGAAGCTTGCAGGTCCTTAAGGTCCTTAATCTCGTCCAGTGGCCGCGCGGCAAGCAATGTCGACCGAGCGTCCACCTATAAACAAATAAACACATTCCCAAATGTGACCCCGGGCTGAGCTCGTAACATGTGTGCCGTGGCCGTCGAGGGAGGAGCCGTGACCCTGGCTCGCCACGAAAATGTGGTCCTGCAACGGGCGGACTAATTTCCATCTGTTCCAACTTCTCTATCTGTTCCAACTCGTCATGGATGGCAAGGAAGTAACGTTACACTGGCTCGCCAACGAGACGGCGGATTAATCTCCATCCGTTTTATCCTAATGAGACGGTGCGTTGACAAACTCGCACGCGTTATAGGATTGTTTTCCGGGTGCTCCTGTTTCCTCCCGCATGTATAGATACTTGTTACTTGGCTGAAAACATCCTTAATATGTAGAGGATCGCAGACCTTGGAAAATGTGTTGTTGGTGCTGACTCACCGCCTGGCTGCTGCCTTTGTAACTTTGTGGTTCGTCTCGCACGCACCTCTAAGTCATCTCTTCGTGAGGTGATGAATCTATTCGGATATCTCGCAGAGCACCGGTGCAACGCTTCGCGTGAAAGAACGGCCCGCGGAAGAGGGATATGGCGGAGCTCCATCCGAGATCTCTTCACGTGACCCTGCGGTCCACGCACAGCAGAGGGGGTAGCACGTGTTCTCGTTCCGTTTTTAATACTCCGAGCGAGAGTGCAGAAGAGATGTCGACAAGAGTTAGGTGAGAGTAACGTGGACAAAAAAAGTGACATACAGATGAGACACGAGACAGATTTAGTGCCCGACGTTAATTTTCTTCGTAAATTCATTGGGCATGTTTATACGCCACGTGTTAGAATCGGAATTCGAGCTCATATCTGGTACATTTGTCAGGAATCTGGGACCCCGTGGCTTTATTGTGACCGGAAGCCTGAGAGCTTGCTTCGCTGTCCGAGCCACAAACACGGCGAGTATATCGACACTGAATGATGAGACGGTGGAGTGGTGGCGCAGTGGTTAGCGTACAGTACCCGTACTGCGATGTGATCCGGACAACCCGAGATCGATTCCCGTCCACGGTCGAACAACAGTAGCGAGTGATTAATAATCTGAACTGACACTGAGCAAACCAACCTGCACTGAGAGCAGCGCGGTGAAGTATGGTCAAACAACCCCTGTAACAGACACGGCGTTGGGGGGGGGGCGGGGGGGAGAGCCCCCTTCCAGCAGTGGATTCGCAATGTGGCTATGCATCACGATATTCACAATCAATATTCTACAACGGAAATGAATACAGTTTTTCAGCAATAAACGAGGTATGTAGATACATATAAGAGTTTGGATTTTCAACAGATGTTCGGTTCATCTTCTTTGGTTCTTTCGGTAAAGTCACGTAGAATGAGAATAAAATAGTAAAATCGTAAAATAAAATTATCGCGACGTTTCGGCCACAACACAAGTGGCCTTCAGGTGAAAGGAACAAACCTGTCGGGACGACAGAGCTTCAATTGTGGCCGAAACGTCGTGATAATTTTATTGTGTTATTTTATTTTATTATTTTATTCTCATTCTACGTGACTTTACCGAAAGAACCAAAGAAGATGAATCCTTGCAGTCACGAAAGCTTTAAATCTAAATGTTTGGTTCACTTTGTGATACATGTATCTATATTCATTAAGGGTTAAAATGAGAAAATGCGCTTACGTTTAGAGTTCACGGCTATGCGCCGATACCTCCTAGAGCCAGACTAAGGCACATTTGGGATTCAGAATCTTTATTTATCCCGGAGAAATCGAATGAGCTCTTAAGCTATTTTTTCACAAGATGCCCAGCAGGATCGGGTCAGAAAGTTACAACAATAATACAATTAACGTTTGTAGTGCAGAGTATTTAGGAAGGATAAGCGCATCACTAACACATCTGAGGCTCACCCAGCCGGATTTAGCTACCTGTATGATTCTAAGAGTGAACGCCCGAGGCTCGTAGGGTCAGACGAAGCATCACGATAAC